ACCGACAAAATGGAGAGATCTGCTTTTATTACTATGCTTCAAAACGGTGGAACTCAGTACTGGTTTTCAATAATCTCAGTACAATGTTTTTTCTTTTTGGTATTTATAATTCATTTTACTGTTATTTAACTATTTTAAAATTCTTTCAATTATTTTATTCTTATTTTTAAAATGTTATTGATTTATATATACTGTATATATATGTATATATATATATATATATATATATATATATATATATATATATATATATATATATATATTTATGTACTGAGCTCCTTACACTTATCTTTGTACTTTATTTTCACTTCATCTTGTATTATATCTTTCTGCATTCTATTACATGACTTTATATCATATATTGATACAGTATGTTGAGATACCACATGTGAGAAAAGTGCTCTATAAATGTTTTTTTAAAATAATACTACTACTAATAATAATAATAACTATTATTATTATTATTATTATTATTATTATTATTATTATTAATACAGATACCCGGTTTTAAACTGAACTAAAGGTAAATCTTTTCCTGCAGGTTTTCTGTTAGCCGGACTGAACAATGTGACTCCTGCTGAAACATGTGGTGAAGGATATGGAACTTCACAAGGCAAATGTGTAGGTATGAACAAACCTGCAACATATATTACAAGGATTGTTTTAATGCTCACTTTTTTTCATTATAATTTCATATGTGCATTTTTTTTTTTCCTAAACAGTTTTTATTTCTTTAAAACTGCGCTGATGTTATCTGTGTTATTTGTTAGCTTTTAATTATAATATGCAGAGTTTGTCCAGCAAACAGCAATGTGCTCAGTCACCTACAAGCTTTCATTATATTCACTGATTTACTGTCAGACCCATGTGAAATCAGAAGAATATAATATTAGAAATAATACTTATAAAAAATAATGTTTACATGATTCTGATATTTCTGGGGGGAAAATCTTGTCATTTTACAATGAATGTATTTATCCTTCATATGTGATCTACATCCTATAAAACAGATGAAGACGAGTGTAATTTTGAAAACCCAATATGTGGTGAAAATGCAGCTTGCTACAACACTGCTGGTAGCTACTACTGTCAGTGTAAAACGGGGTACCGGACGGAATCAAAGACTGTTAATTTCACTCAGGAGGAAAGTGAAGAATGCATAGGTCAGTATGCCTGTAATATCCACTGATGTATTTTCCTATATTAACGGTGCACTAAGGATAAACCTGAAACTCTGCTTTTGTTCTTTTCTCTCAGACATTAATGTATGTACATAGAACAAAACTGTGGCTCTAATAATTTCATAATTTTCCTTACCTCTGGTGTAAATCTATGATCTGAAATGACAGTAATAAGTTCACTTTCAGGTCTAACCAATACACAGGAATAAATGTGACAGTTCAGCAGGGATTTGTGAAACACATGTGTACATCTTCTGTGTATTTTGGTGATAGACTTTAAGGTATTATTGTATTTACTGTAATCTGGTAGTAAACCTTCATCAGGATGCTCCTTAGAGCTGCATCTGATGTATTAAAAATCACATCTTCAATCAGTATACACTACATTAGCCTACATGTAAGGAATAAAAAAAACCTGGGGACGTGCTGTTAGCAAAATAATCAACAGTGAGGTGGTGTGATGGAGCGGAGTTACTGTTACCAACCTGAAATAGCTCGCAGTTGGCCAACTATTACAATTTTGTATTAATTAAATAACAATAAATTGCACTATTTATCCAATAGTTACTGTTATTGCTTACGTTATAGCAGTTATAGACAATCGCTCTTCAACCAGCCTCTCGTTTTTCTCTCTAAGTTAGACGAGAAAATGCAAAACTCCTCTCTCCTGAAGACTTTCCCGTGTCAGAAAATGTACCATTACAGCTTTACTTCAGACAGTTACAAAACTGCTGACACTGGAGACTCCTTTCATAAATGTGGAATAAGGTTCTCCTAACAGAAAACATCACCATATAAAAGATTATGCATTTATGCATTTATTACGCATAAATGATGAAGTTGTCTGTCAGTGAAGCAGCCACTCAGATGTTTTTACAGATTAAATGTCTCGATGTAATATGTTTAAAATACAGTAGCTTCTGTGTGAATTATTATCCTTGGACACACCATAACACATCATAACACAGTCCGTTTGTACAACAACAAACTGCAGTTACTTAGTAATTTAGCACTTATTCTTCTACACATAATTCATGGAATCTGAAGAATTTAATTCACGTAATATTGTTTTTTTTATTTCTCTAAACCTATGCTAAAATTAAGGATGTGTTTACCCATTTTTGGGTAAGAATATTGAAACGTCTCTCAAACTTGTACTCTTGTTCATTTACAGACATCAACGAGTGTTTGGAAGACAATGAATGTGGTCCCAATGCTTACTGCAGTAACACCCTTGGCTCGTATTATTGCACGTGTAAACCAGGATTTGTGAGCAGCATTGGACAGGAAAAATTTAATGCAAGCTACAATGTTACATGCAACGGTGAGGTGTTCATTGTTCTGCTTGACTCTGTAGTTTGATTAGTTTAAATGTATTAAATCAGCTAAAGACAAAATTATACCATTCACTAGGTTTTAGTAATGAGACGTTTATGAAGTTGATGAAAATATTACTTCGTCAAAGCAGGATTCATAGTAGATTTATCTAATTGCACACGCAAATTAGCATACATTATTTGTCACTCAGTAAATCGGGGGAAACAAGAAACAGGTGAACACAATCAGGGAAGCAAATGACGAGACTGGGGTGGTGACTACAACAAAACCAGAAATAAAAGAAAACTAAGAAAACATTGTTGCCATGGTAGCAACTTCACAAAGCATAAATCTGTCTTCTTTATATAGATGGTGGCTATTGTGTGCTATTGACCACCTGGCGCGCTCTGTGGGATATTTCACGGGGAAGTGTCATTTTTTTGGATTCTGATTTTATTTGAGAGCTTCACTTTATAATAATAATAATACTATAAATTAACAATAAAGTTATCATCTAGTGCTCATAAGTAGCGTAACAGAAAAATATTCAACCCATCATCCAGAGACTGCCAGTTCGAATCCTGAAGATGCCACAGCCCTCTTTCCAAGAGCGCAAACATGGCTGTAATAATTTATGTTATTATTTTGGATCAGCTTTTCAAAACCAAAGCTATCAAATAAAATCCCATTCAAACTTGCGAACCGAATTCGCATTTGTAAAATGTCCAGCATTTAACGTGTGCAACCTCTTATTTACATCCTAGGGATTCAGGAATTTTTGAAAAGTAAAAGTATTACACTTTGTTTGCCTTTATTTTAAATCTTCTCACACAATCCCGCATGTTTTCCTTTAGTGTTTATGGTAGAAATTTAATGGTGAACCTCTGCTCTTGTTCTTTTTTTTTGCAGACATCAACGAGTGTTTGGACATCAAATGTGGTCCTAATGCTTACTGCAATAACACAAGTGGCTCCTATTTCTGCGTGTGCCAATCAGGTTTTGTGGCCAGCAATAGAGAGGAGAAGTTTAAAGCAAACCAAAAAGTTAAATGCAATGGTGAGCTGTGAATCTGAAGCAAGATTTCATTTACTTGCATTATTGTGCTCATTGTTCTGCAGTGAGGAATAAAACACCTGGGACCACGCTGGTATAGGAAAATAATCAAGGATTTTTACATATTACATATTACCTAGAGTATGTAAATCATCATTCATGTTACCTCTATAACATTTATGATCCGTTTTCTCTGTAGAACTGGAATGTAACAGACTTGACAGTGGAAGCCTATCTGAGCAGGTATCTATAAAAAAAAAAAAAAAAACAAGCTATCACTATAAACACTGTATAATATCCTGGTACATCTCACCTTTTCTAGCGCTGCCAGTGAACTTGGGCATTTCTCCAAACCACCTGATAAAGATTTCTGCTTTATAACAAAGCAAAGAAGCTCATTTAGTCAGTCATTCACTTCAGGTTCATTTATTTCAGAAAACCCGTTGTCCTTGTGGTTGGGACTTTGAAAAAATATACGAGAATAAGACCAGCATACATAAAACCTCACACTTATCATTTACCTCCTCTGTCTGTTATCACGACAGATCCCTGTGGCACTGAAGCAGATTCTGATAGAGCTGAAAAGCACATGTATGCAAAAGGGAGTGACTGGAGAGGAAATGTTACAGGTAAGCGTGCACAATAAGCTATTGACTTTCGGATGTAACTAAAGCAAATCGAATTCAGTCAACACGTTTGATTGGTCTACATACAGAAAATCAGTCAGTAATTATTTGTTTTAGTGGCACTGATACAAGCTTTAGTTTGTTTACATTTCCCAGCAGCGAACTGGTAGCATCAGTTTTTTTTTTTTTTTTTAGAGGTACTAAGGAATAAACCCCTTGGGGGCATGCTATTGTAGGCAAATGATCAGTGACAGGGTGATATGATGATTCTTGACGCACATAGAAATCTGCAAATTGTATCAGTTATTTCTTTAAGTATAGAAATACATGTCACGCTTTTTAGCCATTTTTAGTTACATTTAATATAAGTTACATTGTGGAACCTAAACAAAAAAGGTTCCTGCTATCAACTGTAAAAACGAGTGTCCCTCTATTTCTTTGGAAATTAATAAGACCACAAAGTGCATACGTCCTCTGTCCTGAAGACTTTCCCATGGTGGACAGCTTTATAAAGCTCTGACCCTGGAGACTCATTCCATAAATGCTCACAGAAAACCTAGACACATTTTAAATCTGTTAATGTTTACCATCTGCCAAACAAGTCTCTGTGTAAGTGGTTCCTATGGAAACAAGAACATATTAAAACAAACTCATTCGATTTGCTTTAGCTGGAACTACTTTCAGAGCTGCTGGTACAGAAAATTGATCAACACAAGTTGTCTGATCGATATTGATTTATGTGGTGATGTATAATCTGAGAATAACGTGATGATGTATTAGGTTGTTAGTGTACTTAATAGTGTAAACAATCTCATAACACATAGTGGTGGCTCAGTGGTTAAGGCTTTGGGCTACTACTCATCAGAAGGTTATAAGTTCAAATCCTACCTTGAACAAGCCTCAGAGTGTTTGGTCTTTGAGCACTGAGCGTGGGTTTAGTTCCACTAGTCTGAATTCACCTGCTTTCTCTTGTTCTCATAGATTCTCCTCGAGGCATTAGAAAGCTTTCTTTCAAAAACGCCTTTAACAGATACCAAGATCATTACAGCACTGTTTGAAGTGGTTGAAAAAGCACTGCCACTGGTAGGACAGCTGCTGAACCAGAGCAGTATCAGCCAATCGCTTCCTCACACACGTAAGAGACTCAGAGCAGCCATCAGACCCCATACACACTCATCTCACTCTTTATATCACAATTTAACATCCTTCGTGATATAGTTTACTCAGCTAAAAAATGATACCATGTAATTATTATAACATATACTAATGTTCGTTCTGCAGGAGTCGAGATGTTGGTCCAGAGAAGACCGACCGCCCCACATGGTCCATTTTCTTTGTCCAGCAACGATGTGCAATTCAACAGCCACTGGGAAACAGCAGTGGGAAATTCATACAAGGGTACAAACCATCCTTCACACTGTGCTCTGAATCAACTCATTGCTTTGCATTTTTTTACTAATAATATGTAAAATGTAATATTTAAACTTTATATGCTTTGCTCATTATATAATTTGCAACTAAAAAGGTTATTTTTGACCCAAAGACAGAGATATTTTGTAGACTTTTATAGTTACTTGAGTCAGTTAAATGATTTCTCTGAGATTCTTTAACCAGTTTGTTTAGTTACATGATTTGAAACGTGCAGCCTGATCATCCCGCTGTCGAAATCAGACAACAAGCAGCTTGAGTACTTTATAAGTTGCTTGTATGTCTCCTGATTGTGCTTGAATGGCATTCACTGAACTCACTGATTCACCTGAGTCACTGACAGAGAGGCGAGTCGTGACCTAGAGGCACAGATCGGTTTTCAGCATACACGTGATTGCACATTTGACTTATGCAGTTCACAGATCATTGAGAAACTCAAACAGATAAAACACGTTAACTAAAAAAGAAAAAAATAGGAACGACTGAAGGATTCATCGACTCAAACACTGATCTGCTGAACCAAATAGGTGCCAAAGGAGTCACTGACTCAATTCTGGGGATACAGTTCGACATACACGTAGCCGCACTGTTTGATAATCATGAAGTCAGGTGGCAATGGATGGATGTTATCTTATTGTTTTGGCTTCTACTCTTCAATTTTGTGACTGATTCTTTCAACTTACTGATTTGGTCATTTGCAAATAAGAATAACATGGTGAAATACAAAGCCTATTTTACACTCATACCTGCACACACATACCTGTCTTCAGGTGAATCCCGAGGACCAGAGGAAAAAGAAATGTATATACTCAGTATTTTGACACATATTGTAATAGTCGTAATGCTATAAAATGCGATTGTCTGCGAACATTGTTTGATAATTAGTGAACAGAACACAGTGGTATAGACAGTATCAGCTCTCACTCTGCCCGCTTGTGTACATTGTTAAACAGGATTTGCCTCTGCGTCCCTGTTCCAGTACCAGAGTCTGGAAATTCCACACGTCCGCAGCTCAGACAACAGCGACATCAGCAGTACAAAAATCTCCGCAGATCAATTCAAGCTCAACTCAGAAGTAGCGACGATAGCAGTCACAAACCCAAACACTATGCGTCTGGAGAGACCGATCACACTTAACTTCTCTCACCTTCAGGTACCACACTAACAACAATATGCTAATAAGGGAATGATATACCACTGATTATTTTAGTGTTTTTATGATGACTTTCTAGGTTTCTTAAACATTTGAATTATACGACTGATGCAAATTGTTATCCTGAACAACAATGTTCTTGTTATTTATCCCTGAATACACATATTTTAAATGTAAACATCCTTCGGAGGCAACAGAGAAGTCAGAGTGGAATGGTATCACTTATGCATACTAATCATTTTCTGTAAAATGAGTAGCCTTCAGGCACCAAAAAGACATTACTTTACTTTATGGATACAGCTAGGTCCATATTACTGGGATCAGTGAGCATCCTGTGTCCTTCATATTAAAGGATTACATTTTCTCTCCTTATACCTTTAGGCATCTGATTTATTAAGATTGCAAATGACAAATACTAACTTGCATGTGCAAGGGGATAAATATTAGGTCTCTGTTGCGTATGTTTTTTACAAAGAGGAAACTGTGTGAATGGCATCATGTGCAAAGTGGAGTGAGGAAACACTTTAAAAAAAGGTTGTGTGTGCTAAAACTCAAGAATAACTCAAATAAGAGGCAATGAGGCAATGAAAAACTGTTCAAAACACGATATGGAAGCAAAATAAGAATGTAGATATGTTCAAATCAGTTCAGGTGTATTTGTATAGGGGGGACGACACCACAACACTCTATGCCCATGAACCCTCCTATTACTACTATGAAAAACTATTCACAAAATGTTTGACTGAACAAATATTTTTCAGCCTAGACTTAAACACTGAGACTGTGTCTGAGCCCTGAACGCTAATTGGAAGGCTGTTCCATAACTATGGGGCTTATATGTGCACGAAGTATGTTAATGAAGTAAAGGTAAATATGTTTAAATGCTGTCGGCATCAGTGGCCAACATGTGGTGAATATCAAAACTAATGTTACTGAGGAACTAATAGGGTGCTGTATTGTGT